GCAGTACCTCTACCGCACCACTAGGGTTTGTGTCCCCATGGTTCTCCAGATGAGAACCATTGTATATTATACCGAGCCAAACCATGGCATCCTTCAAAAAAACTATATGAACAATCTTTGGCAGCATTAGTGTTTTATAAATGTTTATACGTTTTCACCCTAATAGTGTGATTGTTGAATCTCCTGTAGTTGTCGTCTCTGTGATTTTTGTATTTGAATGAAAACAAAGACGACAGATCATTTGGACAAAGGATGAGGTTGGGGGTTGCTCCTACACGTTGAAAATGGTGAGTATAGCACAAACTGCAGCCTGCTATCCGCCGATGTTACTGTCGTTCCTATAACAAGCGCAGAAAAACTATTGACTGCAGCCACCCGCTGTGCACATGCACAACTGCACCACAATGCTGGGCCAGTGTTGTCATAAACACAAACCAAACCACAACAGAAATGCAACAATTTCATTTAAAAACTGTGAATTTTCAAGAGTTGAAATGCATTAAATCCAAAAAGTTTGAGGATGATGTGTGGTTTTAGAACAGTGGAGTCCAATCCTGGTCCTTGAGGGAAACCTTTCCGCATGTATTAGTTGTATTTCTGCACTTCAGCAGGTCTTGAAGTTCTGTGGAACCCTCTTAATCATGTTTAAATCAGGCGTGTTGAAGCAGAGAAACAACTAATAGTGGCCCTTAAGGACCAGGATTGAATGCCCTTGCTTTAGAGCAGTGGTTCCCAAACCTTTTATCTTCTGACCCACGAGATATCCATGGCAAACACTTGTGAACCCTGGTCTGAGTTTGAACTTCGTTAATAACCCTAAAAACACAGGCTTTTGACAATCCAAACAGCTTGTACACAAATATAAATACTTATTTATACTTATTTTGTGTTTTTGTAATAGTTATAGGGAAAATATTACATCAGCAATTATTTTATTACCCTTTAAATTGATTTCTGGAGATTATCCAAGGTGCTTCATGACCATAATTGGTCCCAAGCCCAACTTTGGGAACCAAAGTGCAGTGGTTCCAAAACTTTTCACTTTTGACCCACAAAATAACAGTAACAGAGACCTGTGCCCCCAACTATTTATGGATGATAAACATTTGTTTCAGGCCAACAAAACATGGCCATAGTAACAATATTTTTATACTACATTTATACATTTTAAATACACTAACCTCACTGCTTTATAACAACTAAGGCAAAAATGTAATTTGTTCAGAAAATCTTTTCAAGACCCCACTTTGATGTTTCGGGACCCCAATTTGGGTCCTGACCCCAACTTTGGGAAATACTGCTTTAGAGGATGGGGGTAGATTTACTGATCGAAATATCGATAGTTTCAATTAGGGCTGCAAAAATTCATCAATACATATCGATTAAATAATTAATGATTCAATTCATCAAGGCAAAACAAAAATATTGATTCATATCGTCATCATCTACCCAATGAAGATTGGTTTCACATGATATCGGCTCTTATCGATCACAGACTTGTGAATTGAACTGAATCAAAATTATATCATGACAGACTTTGTGATATCGAAAAGCATCTTATCGTCATCCATCCATTTTCTTCCACCTATCCGGGGTCGGGTCGCGGGGGCAGCAGCTTCAGAAGGGAGGCCCAGACCTCCCTCTCCCCAGCCACTTCTTCCAGCTCCTCCGGGGGAACTCCAAGGCGTTCCCAGGCCAGCCGAGAGACATAGTCCCTCCAGCGTGTCCTGGGTCTTCTTCTGGGCCTCCTCCCGGTGGGACGTGCCCGGAACACCTCACCAGGGAGGCGTCCAGGAGGCATCCTTACCAGATGCCCGAGCCACCTCAACTGGCTCCTCTCGACGTGGAGGAGCAGCGGCTCTACTCTGAGTCCCTCCCAGATGACCGAGCTCCTCACCCTATCTCTAAGGGAGAGCCCAGCCACCCTGCGGAGGAAACCCATTTCGGCCGTTTGTATCCGGGACCTCGTTCTTTCGGTCATGACCCAAAGCTCATGACCATAGATGAGGGTAGGAACGTAGATCGACCGGTAAATCGAGAGCTTCGCTTTCTGACTCAGCTCTCTCTTCACCACGACGGACCGGTACAGCGCCCGCTTTACAGCAGACGCTGCGCCAATCCGCCTGTCGATCTCCCGCTCCGTTCTTCCCCCATTCGTGAACAAGATCCCCAGATACTTAAACTTCTCCACGTGAGGCAGGACGACCCCCCTGACCCGGAGAAGGCACTCTACCCTTTTCCGGCCTCATCCATTCAAATTGATGTAATATCATATCATGATAAAGCTGGTGATTTATAACCCTAGTACTGATACCAAGCTGAGCATCGGTATGGCATCAAATTGATATTTTGTTGTCACATTATTTGAACCACTGACTTTATTTCTCACAAAATAAAGTGAAAAATAAAGTCAGTAGTGCAGAGTCTCCAAATCGATTGGCGTCATTCACCAAAACCCTTCCTTTTTGTCACGCTCACACGCCAAGGAAAGTGTTTTCTTATATTGTTGCTTTTTGTATTTTGCACTAGTGACTTTTTTCATAAACAACTGTGTGTATTACAAGGTAATGGGGAGATTTTTATATTGTTACATTGTTTTTTATTGTTGTAGTTAGTTATTCAGTAAACACGAGTAATGGTATAGACATCGGCATACCAAAATTCCCAGTATCGCCCACCTCATTAGACGATTTAGTGTCACGATGTGGAACCGTGGACGCATAATACAGGTATATATCGTAAGTCTACACACACAGACCAATATTTGCGTTTTGACTCCCACCACCCACTGGAACACAAGTTAGGAGTGATCAGGACTCTGTACCACAGAGCAGACAGTGTCCCTACAAACCCAGGAGCCAGGCAGAAAGAGAAATCACACACACGACAGGCCCTGGAGCAGTGTGGTTATCCTGACAGGGCTTTCCTGAAGGCAGACAGGAAACACAGACAGGATTCCATGCAACCTTCAGGTGAAAATGAAGACCCCAAACCCAGACCCAAACCAGTGGTTATTCCGTATGTTGCGGGTGTTTCGGAGAAACTGAGACGTTTATTTTCTAAACATGATGTCCCAGTAGCTTTCAAACCCCAAAACACATTACGGCAAAGGCTGGTTCACCCCAAAGATCCGGTGCCCCGGCACAAACAGAGTTATATTGTATATGCTGTTAAGTGCCAGGAGGACTGCGACCAGTTATACATCGGGGAAACAAAGCAGCCACTGTTCAAAAGAATGTCCCAACACAGACGAGCTAATTCTAATGGCCAGAACTCTGCAGTTTTCACTCATTTACAGGCCAGCGGTCACTCTTTCAGAGATGAGGATGTTCTCATTCTTGATAGAGAGGAACGTTGGTTTGAGAGAGGAGTAAAAGAAGCCATTTTTGTGAAGAAAGACCGTCCATCATTAAACAGAGGTGGAGGCCTCCGTTTTCAGTTGTCCCCCTCCTACAGTGCTGCTATTGCCAGTATCACTCCACCTCCTATTAACAATAGTGTTAATTAGGTGTCAACGATAGCCATGTGATGTGAGTATCAGTCACATGGAGGCAGTGCTTAAAAGCCTGAATTTTGCCTGAAACCCTCAGACTGAAGAAGTCTCTTGGAGGAGAGACGAAACGTTTCATTAGAGAAGAACCCGTCCAGAGGACCTATACAATTTATTTCTTTTTGATTTTTTACCTGGATTACTGAGATGCATCAGGACATAATACAGGTTGGTATTTTCAGCTCTTCATCATGTCAGAAAGGAGAAGAAGCAGGTGAGGAGGCATGATAAGTGATTTGGGACCTCTAAGATGTGCGACCTGACGTAGGAAAGTATTTACACAGATTGAGAGGCTGAGAGGCGTAAAGGTCCCCCTCCCTCCTCGATGTAATCTGAGTACAGAACAGTTGGCCAGGCTGCTCTGACTGACAGACAACAACAGCTCAAACCGGCCAAACCGATTCTAAGTTCAGCTGTTTCTTTCCTAATGACAAAGAGAAGAAATGATTTGAAGACGTTTGATCAACCAGTTTGAAGATCTGTTCTGAGGAATTTGGAAAGCTTTGGTCCTGAAGGCACCATGAAAAGTCTGGACAAGTTCTTGTTGATATGTTGCTTTTACGGCCTGAGTACATTAGGAGGTAAGGCAGCAGCTGACACAGGAGGAACTTGTTGATATACATGCATGTATACTGCAAACGTACACGGACAAAAATCACAACGCATGAGAAAATAATGCTACAAACTTAATGTCATCTAGTGATAAACCTGCAACCTTACGTTTGTGTTTAGTGTAATAGTTTTACTCAAACATCCAGAGCTATATAAATATAACTCATAGTAAACAGTAGCACAAAGCTAACTACATTACATTGTACAGTATTACTTTAAAATCAAGAAAAAGTGTGAAAAACCTTCAACCTCATTGAGAAACACTGTTATATTGTAGCTCTACTAATGTTTTAATTGGATTAGCATTTAGCCTGCTACATGAACACTATGATAAAGCTAACATCTTCAGAATAGCATGTTAGCTGTTTTACCTTAAGTGCTAAAAAGTAACTGCTAACACACCAATGCTAATACATATATTATTTGTTTTTAGCATATCATAAATTATATGAAAAGGGTTTTCATTTGTAATGTATAAAATATTTCAAATATTCCTCTAAGTTATATAACAGTGTTTACATTATTATATATGCTAATTGATTTATTAAGCATGCTAGCATTTTAATTATTTTTAAAATTAGCATGTGCCTGATAACTCTGACATGCTAGTGTGTAAGTTTGATTAGCATGTTAGCATTTGCATTTAGCATAGCATAAAGCTAAAGTGCCTAATGTTTGTAATTTATCTAGATCTTCTACTAAAATTATTCTTGTAATCTATTTAAAATTTTGTTTAAAGTGGCGTTTATTAACTGATGTGCCAATATGTTTGTTTTGCATGTTAGCATTTGCATTCATCATAGTGTAAATAATATTATAATGCTTTGATTTATGACAAATATATCACATATTTAAAAGTGTCTTTTAAGTTGCTTTAACGGTTGTGATCTGATGGCATGTACTTTATTAAACACATTGGTTTATTTAGCTTGATGATTGCGTTCAGCATATAATTATTTTTAAAATTAGCGTTTACCTGCTAACTCTTCATTTATTAGCATGTTAGCATTTGTATTTAGCATAGCATAAAGCTATAACGTTTGTGACTTATCTGGATACAAAATTCAAATAAAAAGATTATTGTAGCCTAATGTATTTAAATTTCTGTTAAAAATAGCATTTACTCACTCTGACATGTTGGTATGTTTGTTTTGCATGTGTTAGCATTTGCATTTATCATAGCATAAGTACTTAATTACATCTAAAGAGCTTTGTTTTATGACATCATATATTTAAGTTTCTTAGTTGTTTCAATGGTTGTAATATAACTATAACTCTGACTTATTGAGTTTGTTTAGCTTGTTAACATTTGGATTTAGTATAACAAAAGCTGCAATGCTTAAAATGTGTTAACTGCTACAGTAATCACATTACATTTATAATTAAGATAATAAATACCTTACTTGATAAGTTAAAAACTATGTTTAGACTATGAATATCAATAGATTTCCACTGCATTTAAAAATTTAAAATTGTACAGGATATAAAGACATTAGGTTGATATAAAGGGTCAAGTTTCAGTGAAATAGCTCAGAAATACAGTTTTATTGTTGGTTTCTTTATTAAGTGCTGTGACAGTAGTTTGTCGATGCCTGTAACTTAGTATCTCCAGAGAGACTGAAGCCATGCAGAATCACTGCCGGCTGAGTGTTGTCCTTTTATTTACAGAAATCAATGGCTTTCTTGACTGCAGACAGTTGATTTGATGACTGAGCTCTGGCTCTCACAGCGATGTCGCTGTGTATCGAACTTTATTGCTGCCAGTGTCGATTTTGGAATAATTTTCATGGCCTCTCTCTCTGCGCTCACTTGAGCTCGGTGAGCTAACGAGAGGTGAAAGGCCATTAAAGCTTGCGTCTTCTCCGGAGAAATATGGAGAGAGAAAAATACTCGATGCCTGGGCTCGTTTCAGTCGATCGCCTGATATTTTCAATTTACGTCAACTTTAGCTCTCTGTGCTTCTATCAAGCCGGTCATCTGAGCAGCGAGGCGACAAAAAGCGCTAACTTTTTGTCTTTACAACCACCTTCTGTCTGGCCAATCAGCAGCCCTGCTTTCTGTGTTTTGCTAATGGGGGTGCCTCGCTGTGCAATTGTTGTCATTTATTCCCGTCAGGTCACATCCTGCTGCAGCCACAGCAACGCCAGATGTGATGGATGCAGCTTCACCCATGATTATAAATGCTTTTAACCTTCTGAGACCAAGGAGGGAATTTGTCGCCAGTTAAACAGCCAGGTTTAAAATACAACAAAGAGCAAGTATTTTTATTTTAATAGAAGAAATCTTCAAAGACCTCCAAAGAGGTGATTACAGCTGTCACCGCCACTGAAAAACAGCTGCAGATTCTTTGGTTTAGACGGAATTCTCATTTTTCAGGGTGTTTTAATTTGTCAGAAACAGCTTGGAGATCTGCAGGCAGCAGGAATATTTACAGGACTTTCTGTTGCTTTCTGAACATGTGAGGACGTTTCACAAGGAAATAGGTAGTTTATAGGTTTTGGCAGGCAGTTCTGTTAAAGGGGTGGGCAGTTCTGTTAAAGGGGTGGGCAGTTCTGTTAAAGGGG